CCAGCATCCCTTATGGACACCGGTTCGAGTCCCAGCTGCTCCACTTCTGATCCAGCTCTCTGCTATGGCCTGGGGTAGCACAGACGATGGCCCAAGTGCTTGGGCCCCTGCACCCATGTGAAAGACCTGGAAGAAGCTCCTGGTTCCTGGCTTCAGATCAGCACAGCTCCAGCCGTTGCAGCCAATTGGGGAGTGAACCAGCGAATGGAAGACCTACCTACCTACCTACCTACCTTCCTTCCTTCCTTCCTTTCTCTCTCTCTCTCTAACTCTGACTTTCAAATAAATAAATAAATCTTAAAAAAAAAAAAAAGACACTGATACAGGCGATGATATTTTGGATGAGACTGCAAAAGCATAGGAAACAAATGCAAAATTAGACAAATGGGATTATATCAATCGAAGAAGTCCCTACACAGCAACAGAAACAATAAAGAGTGAAAAGACAACCAACAGAATAGGAGAAAATGTTTACAAACTATTCTTCTGATAAAGGATTAATATCCAGATTACATAACGTACACGGGTGCACGTGCACGCGCGCGCACACACACACACACACTCCAACAGGGCAGGTATTTAGCTGAGCATGTCTCGTATCAGAATGTCAGGGTTGGGGCCGGCGCTGTGGCACAGACAAAGCCACCATCTGCAGTGCCAGTATCCCATATGGGCACCAGTTTGAGTCCCAGATGCTCCACTTCCGATCCAGCTCCCTGCTAATGTGCCTGAGAAAGCAGCAGAAGATGGCCCAAGTGCCTGGGCCCCTGCCACCCGTGTGAGACCCGGATGAAGCTCGACTCTGGCACCAGGTCGTCAAAGCCATTTAGGGAGTAAACCAGAAGATCTCTGTGTCTTGCCTTCTCTCTCTGTAACTCCATCTTTCAAACAAATAAATAAATCCTAAACAAACAAAAAAGAGTGTGAGAGTTTGATTTCTGGCTCCAGCTCCTGACTCCAGCTTCCTGACAATGCAGACTTGCAAGGCAGAAGTAATGACTCAAGAAATTCAGTTCCTGTCACCCAGAGGGGAGACCTGGACCGAGTTCTGAGATCCTGGCTTCAGCCCAGCCCAGTCCTGGCTGTTGTGGATATTTAGGGAGTGAAGCAGCAGATGGAACATCTCTGTTTCTGCCTTTCAAATAAATATTTTTGTTTTTTAATTTTACTCATTTATTTGAGAGAGAGTTACAGACAGAGAGGAAGAGACAGAAAAGTCTTCCATCTGCTGGTTCACTCACCAAATGGCCAGAATGGCCAAAGCCAGGAGTTTCTGAAGTCAGGAGCCAGGAGTTTCTTCCAGGTCTCCCTCCCTCATGGTTGCAGGGGCCCAATCACTTGGGCCATCTTTCACTGCTTTCCCAGGCCATAAGTGGACAGCTGGATCGGAAGAGGAGCATCCGGGACACAAACTGGCATATATATGGGATGCCAGCACCACAGGTAGAGGCTTAGCCCACTAAGACACAGCACAGGCCCAAGCATTTAAAAAAAAAAAAAAAAAAAAAAACTTTATATTACACTACCATCTCCACCGCACTATCTGGTAGACTGTCATCTCCTTACCATGGGACAATGTCCTGACGGAACACCCCATGTTCCCTAAAGGTAATGATGAAGACAGAGAGGCCCAGGCCATATGACTAGCCCAGGGTCACACCATCAGTTAGCAGCAGCCAGTAAGACAAAAGGCTTCCAATGCCTTAATGATCAAAAGGATATAATGAGGGTCTTCATATTCTTGGAAAATTAGGTATTATGAAAAAAGTATGCGTGGATTTCAAAATTCCATTTTCCACAGTCTATAATGTACTCTACACTCAAATTCGCTCACTGAAAGCTGTTTCATACCCTCAGGGTCCACCTCTGCAGCACCCACCATGTGCCTAAGACCACCCAAAGAGGTCTATTTTGTTTCAGACTACACACATATACTGGGCTCTTGGGTATTCATTTCCATATTCCTGACAAATATTAAACTCATATATACACCTACTACTAAAGGACTATGTGTCCACTGCATCTGCCCTAATTTATGTAGCAGACACTCCATTCACAACCTTGTCTTCAATAACTTACTTAGCAGACACTCCATTCACAACCTTCTCTTCAATAACTGACCTGGCCTTCCTCCCACAGGCTAACACACGGCTTATATGCAAAGAAATGTAGAAGTCTGCGTATTTTAAGATTGGTCCTGAACAACAGGGTGCAGCCAAGTTTCTCCCACTTTCAGTATCTCTCCCATCTTTGTGCTTCCAATGGGCACTCGGTGACAGTTGATTAAAAGTGTCTCTTGGAGCTGGAGTTGTGGCACAGCAGGTTAAGCTGCCATCTGCAATGCCGGCATCCAACTGCTCCACTTCCAATCCAGCTCCTTGCTAATGTGCCTAGAAAAGCAGAAGAAAATGGCCCAAGTGCTTGGGTCCCTGCTCCCACATGAGAGAACTAAATGAAGCTCCTGGCTCCTGGCTTCAGCCTGGCCCAACCCCAGCTGTTACAACCATTTGAGGAGTGAATCAGTAGATGGAAGATGTATCCCTCTCTCTTTTAACACTGCCTTTCAATAAATAAAATGAATATTTACTTTTTTAAATAAGTGTCTATGTAGGATGCACTTTCATTCATTTACAAAAAAATGTTAGCTAAGTATGCATCAGACACTGTTCTGATTGTAGGTAGAGTAGAGATAACAAGCCACTGAGGTCCTAACCTTGTTCGATTCAAGTGGAGAAAGAGACAGTGAACAGATGGTATCAGGCAGGTGAGTCCTCGAGAGAAACCCGGGCAGGAGAGAGAACACAGCACAGACTGGGAAAGACAGCATTTTAGAGCGAAGCTCTCTCAAAAGGCAATGCCTGAGCAGTGACCTACCTGGGCTCCTTTAGAAATGAATGCTATTGGTTACTGCAGAGAAAAGATTAATTCTGACCTTTAAGAACAATTCTGGGGCCGGCGCTGTGGCGCAGTGAGTTAACGCCCTGCCTGAAGCGCTGGCATCCCATATGGGTGCTGGTTCGAGACCCAGCTCTCTGCTATGGCCTGAGAAAGCAGCAGAATTTGGTGCAAGACCTTGGGCCCCTGAACCCGTGTGGGAGACCCAGAAGAAGCTCCTGACTTCAGATCGGCACAGCCCCGGCCATTGTGGCCAACTGGGGAATGAACCAGCAGATGTAAGACCTCTCTCTCTCTCTCTCTACGCCTCTCCTTCTCTCTCTGTGTAACTATATCAAATAAATAAATAAATCTTAAAAAAGAAAAAAAGGACAATTCTGGAAATTATTACTTTTTTAGAATCAGATTGCCTTTTTATAAGTAAAAATCTGTTAAAAGTCTTAAGATTTTTTTTTAAGTGGGAGGTAAAATAGCAAGGTTTGTTAGGGAAGGGACATCCGTAAGGATAGATGGGGAGAGACTGGGGGTGGGGGTAGGGGTGGGGGTGGGGGTTACATGGTTGAGTGGAGAGAATGCACCTGGCCAGACCAGGCAGGCGGCTCAGCAGAGAGGCAGAGGGCTGAGCCTAAAAAAGTCTTAAGATTTAAAAACTGAACTTTGGCCAGCGCCGTGGCTCACTAGGCTAATCCTCCGCCTGCAGTGCCGGCACCCCGGGTTCTAGTCCTGGTTGGGGTGCCAGTTCTGTCCTGGATGCTCCTCTTCCAGTCCAGCTCTCTGCTGTGGCCTGGGAAGGCAGTGGAGGATGGCCCAAGTGCTTGGGCCCTGCACCCGCATGGGAGACCAGGGGGAAGCACCCGGCTCCTGGCTTCAGATGGGTGCAGCGCGCCGGCCGTAGCAGCCATCTTGGGGGGGGGGGTGAACCAACGGAAGGAAGACCTTTCACTCTGTCTCTCTCTCTCACTGTCTAACTCTGCTTGTCAATAAAAAATAAAAAAATAAAATAAAAATAAAAACTGAACTTTTCCCAGGCCATAAAACTCTAAACTAAATCCTTCATACATTTTGAAAATTCAAAGCTGGGGCTAATATTTTAGGCTAAGCTGCCACCTGTGACACAGGCAACCCATATCAGAATGCCAGTCCCAGCTGCTCTACTTCCCATCCAGCTTCCGGCTAATGTGTCTGGGAAGGCAGTAGCAGATGGGCCAACTATATGGGAGATAAGAATGGAGTTTCTGGCTCCTGGTTTCAGTCTGGCCTAGACTTGGCTGGTGCAGTCCAAAGCCAGCAGTCTTTATCCATCTGGGTTTCCCACTGGGGTGTCAGGGCCAAGCACTTGGGTCATCTTCCACTGCTTTCCCAGGGACATTTGCAGGGAGCTGGATCAGAAGTAGAGCAGCTGGGACTCAAACTGGTGCCTATTGTCACAGATAGTGGTTTAATCTACTGGGCCACAATGCTGGCCCTAATAACATCTTAAAAAAAAAAAAAGAAAAGAAAAGAAAAGAAAAGAAAAGAAAAGAAAAGAAAAGAAAAGAAAAGAAACCTATCATATTACATATCTCTGCCCATCTGCTGATCTCACTATACTGGGAAGCTAACGTATTAGTCTTTTGCCTAAATAAAGAATTCAACATGTTCCCCTCAAACATCAAAGTAAGTATTTTTCATAACTGTTGACTATAAAAATTCCTGCATAAACATAGTTTTAAACAAAAACAGTGGTGGTATCTGGCACAGAAACTGAATTGCCACCTGGACATCTGCGTCCCGTGCTGGAGTCACCTGGGGTTCAGTCCTAGCTCCTCCATTTCTGATCCAGCTTCTTTCTAATGTGGGGAGTGAACAAGCAAATGGAAGACCTCTTTCCACCTATCTCTCTGCCTTTCAAATAAAAATGAAAATGAAAAATTGAATGATTTACATAGTTCCCTTTAAGTTGGAAAGACATAAGCAAGTATTTATGCAAACAGCCATTTAAAGCATAAACAATTTCCATCTTGGAGACTCTTACCCAGTCTTCAACAACCTTAAGTCTCGCCTCCATGAAGCCCACCACGTCTCCAACGGCACCGTGCTCTCTAACCTGCTGTCTATAACCTCACCTTCAGCAGCTCCTGGCAGCTGTCCAGTCCGATATCCACGAGAATGCCTTTCACCTTCTTCCGCACCTTCCTAATGCTGTCAAGATTCTCCACAGGAATTTGAAACATTTTTGAAATTTTCCTTAAAAAGAAAACAATACCATAGTAAGTACACGCACACTATATATTTTTAACAGAACTAGTAACACACCATGGAAATAGAGTATAATTTTCAACAAATGGTGCTGGGACAACTGGATGTCCACATGCAAATGAGGGTGAACTTCCTTACACCACATACAGACTTCTTTTCTGTTTTTAAGATTAATTTTATGTACTTAATAAAGGCAGAATTATAGTCAGAGATCTTCAATTCGCTGCTTCACGCCCCAGATGGCTGCAATGGTCAGGACTAGGCCAGGTCAAAGCCAGGAGTCAGGAGCAGAGATCTTCATCCAGGTTTCCCACGTGGATGCAGGGGCCAAAGCACTTGGGCAACCTTCAGCTGCTTTCCCAGGCGCATTAGCAGGGAGCTGGATCAGAAGTGGAGCAGCCAGGACTCGAACCAGCCCCCATATGAGATGCGGCATTGCAGGTGGCGGCTTTACCTGATACACCACAGGGCCAGCCCCCCCCCCCCCCCATTCACAGACTTTAATTCAAAGTGGATCACACATCTGCATGTAAAGAGGAAAATCTGTAAAACACTCACAAGAAAACAAAGGGGAAGTCTTCACAATTTTAGAATGGGCAATAAATTCTTAGACATGATACTAAAAAGTACTGCAACAAAAGAAAAAATAACCCAGACTTCTATGAAAATATAAAACTCTTGTGCTACAAATGATACCATCAAAAAGCAAAAAGTCCACAAAACTGAGAAAAATATTTGCAAATTATATTGTTATAAGGAACTTATAACAAGCCTGGCCCAGAAACCTCACTGTTGCAGTCATTTGGAGAGTGAACCAGCAGATGTATGATCTCTCTCTCTCTTTCATTCTGGTCTTTCAAATAAATAAATCCTTAAAAAAATATAAATGGGGGGTCCAGTGTTGTAGGGCAGCAGGTTAAGCCACTGCCTGCAATGCTGGCATCCCATATGAGTGGTAGTTTGAGCCCAGGCTGTTCCACTGTGGAGCCAGTTCCCTGGTAATGAGCCTCAGAAAGCCACCCGAGTGGGAAACCCGGGCTCCTGGCTTCAACCTGGCCTAACCCTTGACATTGCAGCCATTTGGGGAGTGAACTGGTAGATGGATGATCTCTCTTCTTCTCTCTCTAACTCTTTCAAAGAAATTCTTTAAAAATGGAAATAATATGAAGTGGCCAGGAAGTGGAAACACTGGCACTCATGTATTACTAATATTAATGTAAAATAGTACAGTCCATTTCAGGAACAATTTGACAGCTCCTCAAAAGGTTAAGTATGGACCATCTGAACAAGTAACGCCACTCATAAGAAATGGAAAACATACATCACAAAACGTGTACAAAGATGTTGAGGGCCACATTATTCACAATGACCAGAAAATATAAACCACCCAAATGCCCATCAACTGATAACTGGGTAAATATAATGTGCATCTCCATACAACACAGTATTATTTGGCTATAAAAAGAGTGAAGTGCTGATCCACACCACAATTTGGATGAATTGTGGAGACACTACGCAAAGTAAAAGAAGTCAAAAATTGACACAAAGTGTGCAGAACAAAAAATTTCTTAGACAAAATATAATAGTGGTGGCTTGCCAGGGAGAACTAGGAAGTGATGGTTAAGGGAACACAGTGTCTTTTAGGAATAACGACAACGAATAAATACCAACTATGACACATGCTGTGTAGCTGGAAGCCCTTTAACTGTACATTTTAAATGGGTGAATTCTACAAGTAGGTAAATTCTATATTAATAAAGCTATTTTTAAACTATTTGAAAAGGCATAAAACTAAAATCAACCCTATGATACATCACTGGACTAGGAGGCACTGTGTGTAACACACAGATGTAGATGTTTGTGTTGGTGTTTGATGCAACAGTTAAGATCCAGCCTGGGGGGCCGGCGCTGTGGCATAGCGGGTAAAGCCACCGCTTGCAGTGCCGGCATCTCATATTGGTGCCAGTTCAAATCTCGGCTACTCCACTTCCAATCCAGCTCTCTGCTATGGCCTGAGAAAGCAAACAGAAGATGCCCCAAGTGCTTGAGCCCCTGCACCTGCGTGGGAGACCTGGAAGAAGCTTCTGGCTCCAGATTGGCTCAGTTCCAGCCATTGCAGCCATTTGGGGAGTGAACCACAGATGGAAGACCTCCTCTCTGTACTCTGCCTTTCAAATAAATAAATAAATCTTAAAAAGATAAAATAAATGCAGCTTGGACTGCCCAAAACCCTTATCAGAGTGCCTGAGTTGGGGTCAACACTGTTGGTTCCTGGTTCCTGGCTTCAGATTGACCCAGCTGTGGCCATTGTGGCCATCTGCAGAGTGAACCAGTGGATGGAAGATCTATTCTCTCTCTCCCTCTCTCTCTCTGTAACTCTGCCTTTCAAATAAATTATTTTTTGAAAAACACACAAAAAAAGGGTGCTAGCGCTGTGGCTCAGCAGATTAAAGCCCCAGCCTGCAGCACCAGCATCCCCTATGGGTGCCAGTCTAAGTCCCGGCTGCTCCACTTCCAATCCAGCTCTCTGCTGTGGCCTGGAAAAGCAGTGGACGATGGCTCAGGTGCTTGGCCCCTGCACCCATGTGGAAAGGAAGAAGCCCCTGGCTCCTGGCTGCAGATCGGCCCAGCTCCAGCTGTTGTGGCAATTTGGAGAGTGAACCAGCGGATGGAAGATATCTCCCCCTCACCATAACTCTGCCTCTCAAATAAATAATCTTTAAAAAAAAAAAAAAATGAGGCCAGTGCCGTGGCTCACTAGGCTAATCCTCCACCTTGCGGCGCCAGCACACCAGGTTCTAGTCCCGGTCAGGGCGCCGGATTCTGTCCCGGTTGCCCCTCTTCCAGGCCAGCTCTCTGCTGTGGCCCGGGAGTACAGTGGAGGATGGCCCAAGTACTTGGGCCCTGCACCCCATGGAGACCAGGAGAAGCACCTGGCTCCCGCCATGGGATCAGTGCAGTGCGTTGGCCACAGCGCGCTGACCGCAGCGGCCATTGGAGGGTGAACCAACAGCAAAGGAAGACCTTTCTCTCTGTCTCTGTCTCTCACTGTCCACTCTGCCTGTCAAAAAAAAAAAAAAAAAAAAAAAAAAAAAAAAAAAAGTGCAAGGCCGACACTGCGGCTCACTAGGCTAATCCTCTGCCTGCAGCACCGGCACACCAGGTTCTAGCCCTGGTCGGGGTGCCGGATTCTGTCCTGGTTGCTCCTCTTCCAGTCCAGCTCTCTGCTGTGGTCTGGGTAGGCAGTGGAGGATGGCCCAAGTGCTTGGCCCTGCACCCGCATGGGAGACCAGGAGGAAATGCCTGGCTCCTGGCTTCGAATCGGCACAGCGTGCTGGCCGTGGCACCCATTTGGGGGTTGAACCAACGGAAGGAAGACCTTTCACTCTGTCTCTCTCTCTCTCTCTGTCCAACTCTGCCTATCAAAAAAAAAAAAAAAAGTTCAAGAGACAGAGTGTGTTTGTACATACAAGCAGGAGAACTTCAAAACATTTGTGAAAAATTTGTGTTAATCAGTTACAAATGATTTTAAAATTTTCTTGCACCAAAATAAACATCTTTTAATTTCATGCCCCACAGATTTTCTAAGGACGTCCCCTCACTCTGCCTCAAGCCTTACATATATTCCATAGCTCTGTCCGCTGACAGCCTGAGCAGTTACACATTCCAGTAGCAGTGGGCACACCTGGAACCAAAATCCTGATTTCTAAATGAAAATTCATTAAAAAGAACTACAGTGGGGCTGGCGTCATGGTGCAGCAGGCTAAGCTAACGCCTGCAATGCCAGCATCCCACGCACACCAGTCAAGCCCTGATGCAGCTCCTTGCTAGTGGCCCAAGTGCTTGAGCCTCTGCACCCACAGCAGTAACCTGGATGGAGTTCCAGGATCCCAGCTTTGGCCTGGCAGCAATTACAGCCATTGGGGAGTGAACCAGGATGAAAGATCTGTCTCTCTTTCAAATAAATGAATCTTAAAAGATGAGCCCAGAACATCTGGACTAGAAAATAAGGCTATAGCTCGACAGATGAGACACAAAGGGATAAAAGCAAACAGCTTCTGGGCCAGCAGGTTAAAGTCCCAGCCCAGCGCTGGCACCCCACGTGCGCCATGGCTGCTCCACTCCTGCTCCAGCTCCCTGCTAATCTGCCTGGGAAAGCAGCGGAAGATGGCCCAAGTCCTTGGGCCTCTGCACCCACACGGGAGACCCAGAAGCAGCTCCTGGCTCCTGGCTCCTGGCTCCTGGCTTCGGATCGGCCCAGCTCTAGCCACTGCTGCCATTTATGAGGTGAACCAGATGGAGGCCCTCTCTCTCTCTCTCTGTAAATCTTTCAAATAAATAAAATCAATCTTTAAAAAAGAAATAAAGAAAAGAAAACAGCTTCAATAGATTCCCACAGGGAAACACGGGACAATGTGAGCATCAAATAAATCATGAGGACAACAGATTATAACCTGTGGCAGACAATTTTCCAAAGATGCATACGACATTATCTTCCATTGATATGCTCTTCGGATATTCCTCCCCCAAAAGTGGGGTTACCTTAGACCTCCTCGTCTTGGACTTCCCACCAGCACTGACAGAAGGTACCTCTGGAGGACTCTAGCTGTGAGTCGCCTGTCTTAGAGCTGTCCTGGATGAGGTCTGACACTGCAGAACAGAAATAAGCCATCTCAGTTCCCTGTCTGAATATCTGACCCACAGAATGCTTAAGTTTGGGGGTAGCTGGGTACACAACAATAGTAAGTGGAATCTAGCCCACTGGAATATAAACTTAAGTCCATATTGAAACACATACTTAGATAAATTGAGTGAATCAATAATAGGGTATGCATGTGGTTTATAAGTACTTGCCCACAAACACTTATTAGTAACAAAAGTAAAAAGACATTTCACAGAAGTCTGACACACAAATCTGGTAGACAAAGCCAAATTGAGACACTGTACAGAATAACTGGCTTACAATATTCAGAAGTCAAAATCATACAAGATAGTACTGTTTATAATAACCAAAATGTGGAAAGATGGAAATAATCCAATATGTCCAACAAATAGTGAACAGAATACGGTACATCCGTACAATAGAATACTACTATTTGGCAATAAAAATAAACAAACACTGGTGCTACAACATGCTAAATAAAAATCCAGATGAAGAAGTCTTCATATTGCCTGATTCCATTTACACGTGCAGGAAACAGAAATCCACAGAAAAATAAGGCAGATTAGTGGTCGGCTGGGAGTGAGAACAGGTAAATAAATGGACAGGCTTATTGGGAGAATGCTAACAATGTTCTAATACTGGATTTTGGTTGTGTTAGTTTTTTATTACTACAATGAAACATCTGAGGCAACTAACTTTATAGAGTGAAAAGGTTTATTCAGCTCACAGTTTTGTAGGTTCAAGTTCAAGTCCAAGATCCGGTAGCCCCACTGGCTGGCTGGCTGGTGAGGACAGCAGATGTCAATGAAAGAGCACTTGCAGAGGACGGGACACCTGATGAGCCAGGCCCGGGCCTGACTCAGGCTTTTCTGACCCTCTGTGAGAGTAACCTCTCCGAGGGCAGCCCCCCTGGCCCACACACATCTCACCAGGTCGCACCTCCTCAATGCCCTCCCTGGATTCCATTTCTGCCCCTTAACACCATTAACTTCTAACTCTGGGGTTCAGAGGTTTGCATGAGTTTGGGGGCCAAATCATGTTCAAAAACAGCAGTGACTATTGCAGAACTCTATAACCCCCCCCCCTTCAGTGAATTATACATTACAAATACACACACATATGCATACACACAAATATATGAATGGAAGGAAAATCAAAGGAACTATCCAGACCGCAACAAACTAGACAACTGAGAACAATGCGCCATTCTTAACTAGATCCTTCTACTACACAAGATGCTATTAAAACAACTGGCAAAATGTGAAAGGTGTATGAGATTAGATTTAACAATGTACTGATTTCCTGAGTTTTATGGTTTTCTTATGGGTATACAGGAGAATGTTCTCATCAGATTCCATTTACATGTGCAGGAAACAGAAATCTACAGAAAAAGACGGCAGATTAGTGGTTGGCTGGGAGAACAAGTAAATAAATGGACAGGTTTATTGGGAGGATGCTAACAATGTTCTAAGACAAGTTTGTATTTTGAGTAGTATGGCACCTTATTTGGCAGTTTACTCTCAAAGATTCAGGGGAAAAGGTTCTTTGTTATTTATAACCTTTTAAAAACATACAACCATTTCAAAAAACTTTATTGTATAACCTTTAAAAACTAAAAAAAAAAGGGTTGGCACCATGGCATAGCAGGAAGAGCCACCACCTGTGAAGCTGGCATCCCATATGGGCCCCGGTTCAAGTCCCCCCAACTGCTGCACTTCTGATCCAGCTCTCTGCTATGGCCTGGGAAAGCAGCGGAGGGGCGGCCCAAGTGCCTGGGCCCCTGCACCCAGGTGGGAGACCTGGAGGAAGCTCCTGGCTCCTGGCTTTGGCCTGGCCCAGCCCTGATTGTTGCAGCCATTTGGGAAGTGAACCAGCAGATAGAACTCTCTGTCTCTACCTCTCTCTAACTCTGCCTTTCAAATAAGTAAACCTTTAAAAAATATACATATAAAAAAAACTAAAAAAAAATTATTAGTCAAATTCAAGTGACAAACACTTTGGTTACTTAATAATAAAGGAAATGCCAAGTAAAATAATAAATACCAATTTTTACTATCACATGACAATGAACACTATAACTTCTACATGTTTAGAAGCCAATCTGGCAATAGCTTCCAGGTGCTAAGGGTAGTTTGAGTCAACACTCCACTTCTACATCTCCCTCTGCAACCCTCACCCAGGGCAGGGAATGCTCCTAGGGAGCTGCACGTAACCAGCTCGACTCCTTCCACTTGTGTTTCGATTACTCACTTGCAGTACCTATTGCCCCACTGGACTCAACTTCAGGGCAGCAGTGACGTTACAGCTCCACACATAAAGGCGATCAGAAACGAAGGAAAGGTGGCACTTGCACAAGTGCTGGGAGGTTAAAGGAGGGAAAGGCTGTGGAGGGTAAGAGGGCTGAAGCCTGACATAGCAGCGTGAGCAGATCAGCATCAAAGAACACGTGAGGTGGGGCCCACGCTGTGGTGCAGTGGGATAAGCCACCGCTCAGACACAGGCATCCTATATGGGTGCTGGTTCGAGTCCTGGCTGCTCCACTTCCAATCCCACTCCCTGCTAATGTGCCTGAGAAAGCAGCAGAAGGTGGCCCAAGTGGTTGGGCCCCTGCCACCCACCCATGTGGGAAACCCAGATGAAGCTGCCTCCTGGTTTGGCCTGGCCCAGACCTAGCCATTGTGGACATCTGGGGAGAGAACCATGAACAGCAGATAGATCTGCCTCTCCTTCTCTCTCTCTAACTCAGCCTTTTGAATAAACAAATAAACTTTTGAATAAATAAACTTAGAAAACAAAAAACAAACATGAAGTACAGGAGAGGCCTAAACATATTTAGTGATAATTCAAAGTTAAGTCAGACCACAAAGGTGGGCTCATATCAGAATGGGGGTGAGGGGAAGGTGGATTAACAGCAGCAAGGAATCTCCAGAGGAAATCTGCAGTTTTTGAGACGTGGCTTCAGAGTGATTCAGTTTCTTCTCAGACAAGTTATGTGAAAAATGTATCTTGGGCTTGGCAAGGATTGTGGAACTGGGGGTACAAAAATCGCGGCAAGTAAAAAGTGATGTTTACAAATAAAATGCACTGAATTGGGTTCTGGCCTTCAAAAGTTTACTCACACAGAAGTACTGCCAACAACCTCCTGATGCATTTCCACAAACCAAACACAGGTTCTGTTCAAGCCCAGACTGGCCCCTCTGGGGACAGCAATGCTCACAAGCATCTCCTGATGCTCTCTACTCCGTCTGTCAGCTCTGCTCCACGACCCTGCTATCCTGGGGTTCTTTCTGTAAGAACCAGCTGTTACAACAGGACTGTCTAAGCAAAGGCCATCATCCACACGTACCTGAAACAGGGAAGCTAAAGTTATGACTTGCAAGGAACAGTCTCAACTTACAGCAAAAGCCAATGCTGTTCCAGGCTCGGAGAAAGGCACGCAGCGCCAGGATTGCTCGGCTTTCCGCGGCAGGAGTGCTCAGGGATTGGCTGATCCTCACGAACTCGGAGCCACTGAAATGAGGCGGTCACTGATGGCACAAGGCCTGAACGGGTTCTGCAGCGACTTGTTCAAGGCTTGGAATTGGGGCCAAGGTATGGGTCAGTCTTCTCTCAAATTCAAAGAGGAACTTTTCATTCTCAAACTTAAGTGCTCCAATTCCTTCCTAACTGTTACTGTGCCCCCTCAAATGAGCACACAAATACCTTTTTATTATTTTTCCTTTTTATTTAAGCACTTTGCTTACTGCTTTAGGGAAGCCACCTGAGGGTAACAAAAACTAAAACATAGGTAAGTCAAGTCAGTTTCATATCCTCAACAATTCTTTCAAGATCCCTGTCTCCTGCCAGGGAAGGGAGGCTCACTTTTATCCATACTTCATCTGACGCAAAATACGACACCTTATTCTCTGATCCACTCTAAGACCTTATCAAGACTCATCCAGTCTAAGACACAAGATTCCACACAAAACACCCAGTGGGTAGACACTCTACAGATACTGCTCTCCATCATCCTTAGCACTACGTAGAATCTGTGTTTCCATACCATGCACCAGCCCATACACCTCAGTTCACACCAAATTACCTTTAATTTCCGATTTTGTGGAGGCCATAGAACTACCACAAAATTCCACTGACATGCACAACAAAATTATTTCCCAAAGGAGTATTTAATGGTTTCCTCTGTTCTTTTAGTGTTGTGATCATTTATGGGAAAAAAATCTGGCATTAATACTTTTTAAGCCACAGAACTTTCTTTTTAGTTACTGTGTAATCTACATTCTACAGGGATTTCACCCGAGAGGCAGCACAGCACAAGGCGCCACCAAGGTTTTGGAGCTGCAAGCCTGCGTGTCATTCAGTGCCACCATTCACCATCAGCTGCATCCCCTTCAAAACACGACTCAGTCTCTGGGACTCAGCCCGCAGGCTTCCGCACAGCGCACCCGTGAGTGAACACCGAGGACACACTGCAGCGCAGTCTGCTACTGCCTAACTGCAAAAAAGCGCAGCGAAATGTCCCAATTACGGGACATACAACTTTTTTAACAAGGCCCAAGTGCTCGGGCCCTGCCACCCACGTGGGAGACCGGGACAAGGCTCCTGGCTCCGCGCTCAGGCCTGGCCCAGCCCCAGCTAAAATTCTTACCCGAGTGCCATCATCCCCCACTGCTCCCGGGCCGGTCTAAGCCACCCCTCACCTTCTCCCCCGTCAACAGACGGCCACAGCGCAACCTCTCCACACAGACCGCCATCTCCTCCCCACGTGAGGAGCGCGGCTTGGGGCTGTTCGGCCTCACCTCTGACCCGCGCACGGCCCAGTCTCCGGCGCACTCGCCGCGCGCAGTCCCACCGTCACCTGCTTCAGCAAAGCACACGCCCGCCTCCTTACCCGGCCCTGTGCACACCCAAGCCCTCCCCGGCTCGCGCCCCGGGCCTAACCCTCGCAGACCCACGAGCACTGCCGCGGGACTGCGCGCCCGCTGCCCGCACGTCTCGGCGGGCGGCGACACTCCGCCCCGTCCAAACGCAACCAGCTTCGACAGCGCTCAAAACCCCGACTCGGCGCACCAGCTGGCCCGGCGGTTACACGTTTCCACGTTCCAAAGCCAAACGCCCGCGGAAATCCTGCAAACAGACTCTCGTCCAACGCCAGCGGCGCGTCCGCGGCCGGCCCACCTCGCTCCGGGCCGCGCCGCGCCGTCTCACCCAGGCCCCGGGGCCGGGCGTTCCGGGGGTCGCCGCGCAGGGGCGCCCTCGGCCGCACGCCGCGCCCCGCTCGCCGCCCCCGCCGCTCCCGGCCCGTCGCGCCCCGGCCGGCCCGCCCCGGCCCCGGCCCCGGCCCCGGCCCCGGCCCGCGCCCCTCCCACGCCCGGGCCCCTCCCGTGCCCTGCCGTCCCACGTGACCGCGGGCGGGGCGGGCCGGGGCGCGTCGGGGGACGACGGGCGCCGTTCGGGCCGCGAACCGCACACCCGGAGAACGTCCCGGGGTTCCTGAGGCGGCCGCGGGCGGCGGGCGGAGGCCGCGGGCGGAGGGCGTGGGCGGCGGGGTGGGCCGCGGACGGCGGGTGTGGACGGGGCGGGCCGGGGGCGTCGCCGCGCGGGCCGGGCGGGGGCCGTACTCACCGCTCGGCTCCTCGCCCGCGGAGCGCCGCGTCCCCCGCCGCCTCTCGCCGCGCCCGCTGCCTCTTGCCGCGTCCCGCGGGGCCGACCCCGCGCCTAGCCGCGCGCGGCGGGACCCCCGCCTCAGCGCGAGCCCACCCCTGGCGCGGCCCGTCCCCTCCTCCCAGCGCGGCCAGAAAGAGAAAATGGCGCTCGATTTGCCTCAGGAAGTGACGTCGGCCCTCATTTGCATGGAGGCTCAGCCAGCCAATGGGAGCAGAGTATGCTTGGGGACCCCTGGGCACTTCCCACAGGCCCCTCTGGGCCCCTGGCCATGGATGGACCTGAGGCTCTGGAATGAGAGTGGGGGTCCCCTGTTGGGAGACCCCTCCATTGACCCCCACTCCTGGCACAGTGAACAGTCCAGCTACCCTCAACACAGCTGTGCAAACTCTCACGAGAGTTTGAGTTGGTGATGACGTCATCAAAGGGGGTGGGGAGAGTGTCGTCGACCATGTGATCAATCACATGGGCTCACCAGAGCTTTGACTTCATTTACATGGAATGGGGGTGGAGCCCTAGGACTGGTAACCCCGCCCTCATCTCAGAGCCAATCAGAAACCAGCTGAGAGAATGCTACTTTGCCATTGGAGAATAGAACTTTGGTATCATAACTTGGACAAGTGTACCAATGATGGACATAGCTTGGTGGACCGACTGGGTAGGGTCTCCTGACTTCGTAGGCTTTTTCTAAGGTAATTCGCGCCACATGTTTTATTTGGGATTTCTGATTTTTTAAGTAAGCCTGAAATAACATGTAGAGAGAAGGTAAATTACATACATTTGTATAAACTCTATAAAAGTTCACTTTTGCCCAGATGTTTAAATGCTGTATAGAGATAATACTATATTCTCAAAATGAGTGAAAGCGTCTTCGTCCATTGAACCAGCAGGCCGGCCTGCGGAATCTCTGTGTGGAGGCCGTGGTGGCCCTCGGGAGGCCCGGGGTTAAGAGAGGACAGCAGGCTTTCCCACCTGTTGGAGGCCCCTGACCACGGCCACTTTGCTCACCACAGAAAGGAAGTGGGCATCCTCCATCTCCCAGCCCAACACACCCCGTGTGACCTGCAGGTCCTGGGGCCTCGTGCCCAGGCTGAGTCATGCACCCCCCCAGCCGTGGCCCTGTGCGCAGCTCCCTGTGCGTCCTCCACGGCCCCACAGCCTTTCCCTACTGATGCCTTCCTAACAGACACACGTCTATAACTTGTGAGTTGTCTTGGGCTGCACTGAAGTGACTTACAGGACGACACAGGAGAGTCCGCCCTTTGCGTTCCCCTGTGAATTACGATTTAATGTGATTGTGAGTCGCAGCGGTAACGGCTATGACAGCCCTCAACATCTCCCTTGAGAAGTGACCCGTCGGGTGAAGCTATGTTCCAGCGTCCAGCCTCCCCTGGGCCCACAGATGTGCTCTGTGGTGAGCCTGCCACGTTTCTCACAGGGAAGGCCACAGTGCCCACATCCTGGGCTTCACCGCACTCACCGCGGTGCCGTCACTCCCACCCGCACACTCTTGGGAAGGGACAGCCACAGCCAGGGTCCTCGCCTGCCCTGCAGCCTGTCTCTCCCGACACCGCCTTGCTCTTTGTCCTCTCCGACCACGACCCACGAGGTCCTCAGCCCCCACCAGTGCCCCTCCCGCAGCCCACCCTCGGAAGGAGGCCCCCAGGGTCCCGCCTGCCTTCTCACCACTCAGCACAGTCACCACCCGCTTCCTGTCTGCCCCAGCCCATCCTGGTACTGGAGCTCCTGCAGCTTCCACGTTTGCTCGCGTGTTCTCCCTGTTCTCAGCTGGAGACTCAGACCTCAGCAGTCTCCTTCCAAACCAGCATCTCCACCTCTCAGCTGTTTTGTTCTGTGTTGCTTTGTCCTGACTGCCAGGTTGGCAGCTCCATTTGAAACTCCCACAGCACCTTCGATTCAAAGTGTTCAGTACTGAGCCTGCCCCACACCCCACGCTCCTGAGGAAGGAGAGCTGTGCCGTGCCTGTGGCCCAGAAGCCTGTTCCGGATCTGCAGTTGGAGAGCAGCCATGGCCTGGGTCAGAGGGTAGGCAGGCCCTGGCTGAGCAGCGCGGGGAGAGGTGGGGCACCCCGGCAGTGTGCGGCCCTGCCGGTCACGACATGGTCAGGAGGGCAGCTGAAGCACAGGTCCCACACGGCAGGATCCGGCGGGGGGCCCGGGCCAGCGAGGAGCCGCTTCGGTCTGTGGAAGGCCCCAGGAGGCCCACACAGTGCGTCCAAGGGTGGATTTGTACCTGGAAGCCTGCTAGGCTGTCCTGTGGTCCTGGGGGAAAGGTGGTGACCAAGGAAGGCAGAGAGCTGGGAGACGGCTGGAGCTGCCCGGGGCAGAGCTGATGCCAGTCTGCCAGCACGGCGGGCCGCAGCAGGGAGGGGCAGTGCAGAGCGCTGTTGCCGACTCCACGCGGGAGCCTCTGTCTGAGGAGCACTCTGGCTCAGGGGTGCACCTGACTTTTCTCCAGTCGGTCCTGAGTTGGAGGTTGGGTGTCGGGGGGTGTGGGGAGAGAGACGCCTGCGAGACAAGAATTCATGGAGCCAGTCCTGACCACTGTGCGCTGATGGCTGCAGAGGTCATGGGTCAGGAATCGTCATCTGAGGGCCGGTGCTGTGGCACAGAGGGTAAAGCCACCACCTGCAATGCTGGCATCCCATATGGGCACCAGTTTGAGTCCCGGCTGCTCCACTGCTGATCCAGCTCCCCACTAATGGCCTGGGAAAGCAGTGGAGGACGGCCAAGTGCTTGGGCCCCTGCACCTGCGTGGGAGACCCAGAAGAAAATCCTGGCTCCTGGCTTCAGACCAGCCCAGCTCTGGCCATTTTGGCCACTTGGGAAGCCAACCAGTAGATGGAAGACCTCTCTCTTTTTCTTTCTATGTGTATGTGTTTCCCCCTCTCTCTGTAACTCTGCCTTTCAAATAAATAAATAAATCTTAAAAAAAAAAGATTCTGACGTATGAATTTTGGGGAGACACAATGTTCAGTTTGGAACAACAGTTCCTGGGGCAGGAGGTCCGTGAGCGACAGGGCTGCATAGGCAGAGGGCTGGGAGTGCTTCTGGCCAGAGGAGCACAACACTGCCGAGTCTCCCCTCTTTCACGCTCTCCAGTGCCCTGGTTGGCGAGTGCAGGGTGGCTTTGGGCAAGAGGCAGCACCCTGCGGAGTTTGTGCACGACCCCGTGTGTGTCTTGGACGCGCAAGAGCTGGGCTGTCCCAGCTTGGAAACACCAAGTAAGCAGACTCTCTGCAGCCACGAAGCCACAGCGTTTTGGCAAGGAAACGCTTCAGGCCTCCTGAGAATGGACACGATGACTCGATGGCAGGGGGAAGCTGCAGGGACCCTCCTGAAGCTGCTCGGTGCCCCGGAGGCCTCGCTCCCAGCCACGCTCCACGCTCCACGGCTGCGATCTTTCCGTTATCACGTTGTTGACAGGTTATGACTTATGGCCTGAAAGTAATTGAACTGGAAGATGGCTGAGGAAGATGGTTACAAACTGCACCACGATGAGTGGCTTCACCCAGAAAACCAGCTGGTGGTCGTGTGGTGGCGCCAGGCAGGCTTCTGGAAGGCAGCCGGGTTGCCACAGTGAGCTTCCCCGTTCTCCTTGTTCTGAGCCCTCCCGGGGACGTGCTCCTGGCGCGGGTTAGGGTCACAACCTCGAGAAACCGCTTCCCGCGGGGCCCGGCACCACGCCTCCTGCAAGGCTGCACCTTCACCACGGCTGGGCAGCTGGGGCGGCCGAGAGCTGCCTGACCTGTGCACGGTTGGTGGGTGTCCTTCATGTCCAAAGTGCCCCCAGAGTCGTGCTGGCACAGCCGAGGAAGGAACCTAAGTGTGTTGTTGTGTTGTTGTTGTTTAATTCTCGCCACAGTCAACACAGAAGATCCTGGCCTCCAGGAAGCACACGAGGGCCGCAGTGGACCCGTCTGGACCTCCTCCGACTCGCTCCAGCCGTCCACCTGGACTGCATCAGGTCCCAGGCTGGGGGCTCTTCCGGGCCAATCGGCTTCCCTCCGTCTGCTGGGGGGCTGCTCACCGACAGATTAGGGAGGATCCTGCAGAGGCTGCAGACAGACCCCAGGGGCAAGGCAGGCGCAGGCCAGACTCCGGGAAGCCCCGGGGCCCCTGTGAGACCTGCTCGCGGCCGCTGCCCGGGAATCCCCACGTCCTGTCGGCTCTTACGGAAGCCTGAGGATCCACCAGGCCCCCAGCCCCTTCCCACGGCTGAGGGTGGGGCTGAGTTCCCAGCGCCTGGTCTCTTCAGGGCACAGAAAGACCTGGGGGCTCCAGGGGCTTTAGGAGCCGTATGCCAGGAATCAGATGTGTGTTCCACAGAGCCACACGTGTGCCCCCCACAAGCACACCAGCCCCTGCAGACATGTGCACGCCTGGTTTTGGTGGAGAAGCTCCAGCCACCAGGCAGCTGTTTGTCCAGGGAGGGGGGGGTAGCCCTAAGGAGAGCACACCTGCCAGCTCCCCAGCTCCCCTGTGTGTGACCATCAGCAGATGCCGCCACGGGACTCTCTGTGCATCTGCCTCCTGGGCACGGAGCACGGTGGCCAGAGAGAGGCTGCTGCGGTGGTGAGCGGCGGTGCTGGGAGGTGCAGGGCCTGCAG